GCAGCGAAGCTATATCCAGGTAGATGGATAAAAATGGGTAGATGAGATGGATGGATGGATGCCACCTCCTTGAGCCGCCCTAATTAGCATATAAATGACATTGTCGCTCTCGCCGCTTTGCCAGTGCCTTTCAAATATGTTGTGTTTGCTTATTGATTTAGCATTAATTGTTAATTGTTAATAACCGGCGGCGACCGCATCGGGAACCGCACAGTTTAACGCACCTGACAAACCACAACGCTTTCGACACCATCAACAAGGACATTTGCCGTGGGCTGGATGGCGGGATGGAGATAGAGAGAGATGGCTAATGTATTCAGGATACAATATACTGGGTTCAGGATACAGCTTCAGAACATGAATTACTAAAATCACTCACTTTACTACCCAGTAAATGGTATCTACACGTTAAAACAATTCTTTAGATGTTTTCTGAAATTCTTTGTATATGCAAGTATATGCATAATAAAAACAAAATTATAACATTTCTTGTAAGGCCCCTTAATGGTTCCGTCCGGAACTTTTCTTCTCAGTAAAAGCGCTCCCCAATTTATCTTAGGAAATCAATTTATATAATACAAAAAAATCACTTTATAAAAAATTAATTATAAGATATATATCACTATGTAACATCAAAAATTTACCTCCATGGCTGCAAGAAAATTGGATTTCAATAGCCATTTTAAGCTGTGATCACCAAAAAGTTCCCCTACGCAAGGATTCTGAGAAAATGAAGGTCAAAGTTGGAAAATATCAGTTTTTTGCATTTGAAAAGTCCTTTGAACCCCATACTCAAAATAACTGTATGATTTTTTTCAAGGGAGTTATAAACAAATGAAGACATAGTCATAGACATACAGCTGCGGTCAACATAATAGTAGTTCGTGGGGTTAGTTTGTAAACTCGGTTAAGAAAAGCAAAAATCAGAATTTTTTCGACTTCGAGGTCCTTTTTTTTCTTAGATTCCTTGCGTAGGTTAATTTTTGGTAAACAAATTTCAAAATGGTGGTTTCAAAGCGAATACGATTTTCTAGCAACCATTGAGGTAAATAAATAAAGGCTAAATTTTGTTACACAGTGTTATTAGTGTAATTTAAGTCGTTTTCGCTTTGCCTTGATTCTTGGTTTTGGGTGGATAGCTTTATCTATATAGAAGATAATGAACTTCGTAAATTGTCCTCCAAATGATACATAAAACATGTCTTACTAAGTTTTTCAAAAATATTAAGGGAGCTTAACCAAATTATATAAATAATAAATGTTTTAAGCAAGTTTTTGACTTTAGTTATTATTATATTATAATGATCAGTCCTACATTTTTCGATTTTTTGTAACACTATAAGAAATATCTTAAGCTAGCCTTAAAGTTTTAAAACAATGGACAGCCTTAAAGGCCTTGAGGGAAATGTAAACCTTTTACTTGCAGTGTCAATACTATATTTTGACCGCAATTGCGGGGGCGTCAGTGTCACCTGGCGACTCCCCCCGATTATTGGCCATAAGGTGGGTTTGCTCTGAGGTCTCGCCTTTCGGGCCCCGTCTGTTTGGGATCGCTTTCGTTCGCCGCCTAAACACGAAACTCAATTAACTTGTTAATTTATTTGAAATTTTCTTTGTTCGTCCTTCGCCATTGAAAACCACTCCGCCGGGGTTACCAAGGTGATGGTTCAGATGGGGGTTACGGTTCAGTTGGGAGCGGAGTTGCTTGAGCAAGGGGTTTCCGCCGCTCAGTCTCTGTTAATTTGGCAATCTAATTCGCGAAAAGGTTGGCAGTATATCAAATTGTAGTGATGTATTGGTGGGATGTATGAATTCAATTTTGAATCGGTTTATAATTGTTGAACGGCTAAAAAAGAGGTCTAGTCCTTGAATTTTAATTGTTAAAGTTGGTTCTAACTCAAGGTAAAATGTGAATTCAGAAATAAAGTTTCATTAATCTATGGGTAAAGTTCCATAAATTATAAATAAAACTCGATATGGGACCACCAACTTAAAGAACTGTCATGAAAGGCATGTTTTCTAAATGGAATATTGAGTACTATCCTTTAATCCTTAAGTTTTACTAGATAAAGTTGGTTTTAACTCAAGGTCAATTGTCAATTTAGAAATAGAGTTTAATTAATCTAATTGATAAAGTACCAAATACTATAAATATAACTCGATATGGGACCATAAACTTAAAGGACGGTCTTGAAAGAAATGTATTCTGAATGAAAAAGTGAATACTATCTTAAAACTAAAATGATCCCGGGTTTTCAAGTTAACTTCCATAATTTCCATAGCACTTATGCTCTTTAGTTTTGGCATCTCAATCTCAGTTTTATTAGCTACTTCTTCAAAATCTCTTTGAGGAGTTTCCTTTGAAACGCAAAACGATATAGTTTTATTAATCTTATTGATAAAGTATCATATGTTATAAATAAAAATCGATATAGGGGACATAAACTTAAAGAACGGTCAGGGAAAAGTGTATACTCGAACAACATTAAAAAGGAACTATCTTAAAAATAAAATGATCCTGGTTTCTCAAGTTAACTTCCATATTTTTCACAGCACTTATGCTCTTCAGTTTTGGCATCTCAATCGCAGTTTTATTAGCTACTTCTTCAAAATCTCTTCGAGGAGTTTCCTTTGAAACGAAAAAGGAGCTGGTGGCTGAGTAATTTCCATGTGGATTGGGGATTGTGGTTAGCTAAAAATCGTTTACCGTTGCTCACTTCAAACTTTGATGCCGAAGGGTGGAGGGGAGGGGGTGGTTCGGAGATGGTTGATGGTTGAAGGTTGGTGGAAAATGGGAAAATGGGAAAGTGGGAAGTGTAGGCAAAGTGCGGGCAAAGTTTTTGCTTGGTATAATTAAAACTAGGCAAGAACAGCGTTGAAGACAAACGGAATTGTTTACATGTGTCTTTGTTACAGTTACAGTTATCCATTGGTGGCTGTGGATTGAGTGGATGGGGGTTTCCAGGGGGGGTACGTCGGTTTTTGGGGGTCGGAGAAGGAATATGTTATGTTTCAGCCTACATTTCAGCTGTTCGTTGTTAGCTGGAGGCATGTTTTCTCTGCCAGTCTACATATCTATTCCTGTCTGTGCTGCCATGTTGAACATTTTTCGGACAGGGTTTTATGTTTTTCCAAGGCAAAAGTAAGTGATATACCTTTAATGCCGTCTAAATTCCAGAAACTAGTGCTCAACAACATCATAAACAGATAATAACACTAAATCTGAGTAAAAAATATGTAATGACCAAAAAAGTAGGCTATACAAATTTATGGCCTAAGGAATTACGTATACGTATTATTACGCATACGCATATATATAATTTATTAGATTAGTTAAACTTCTAACAGTCGTACTCACTTAATTTTCTTTATTTGTTTTAGCTTTTTTTTGACACTGCTGGCAGCACTGATCACTGTTTTTATCTATTTCCTTCTCTTTATCGCAGTGGCATATGCAAGACTTCCTGCTCACTCCTTCGGCGTCATCGTCATCGTTATCGTCATCGGCTTTGCCGAGTCACTTCGTGCACGCCCACTTTATTTAGCATTTTGTTGTTTTTTCGGTTTCCTGCGGTTTTTAATTAAAATTAACTTTGTTTATTTTGCGCTTTTACCCACGCCACCTTTCTCCCTCACACACTCTCTCTTTTCGGCCGCCTCAGCTCAGACAAAGTGATGTTGACTTTGCCCGCGTCTTTCTTTTGCGCTCTGTCTCCGTCTGTCTCTCTCTCTTCCTCTCTTGCTGTTGTTGTGTTATTGTTGATGCTGTAGCTGCATGTAATTGCCGCCATTTGCGTTGTCGTCGTCTCTTCTTCTACTTCCTCTGCCTCTCCCAATCCCTCTCTTTCTGCTAAGGCCAATGGGGACAATTCAGCTATTTAATAGCCAGATCTGGTTATTGTTAGCCTTTAACTTTCATTTAAAGAGATTTTGGAAAGTGTGTCTAGCCAATGATACCTAGATATACTATCATTCAACACATACTTGTACAAACTTCAATTTGATTTCCGTTTTTCCATAAAAAAATTAATCAAATATTTTTTTCTTTTCGATTCTATTTGACGTAGGTATTCATTTTTAGCTATTTAGATGCGCTTAGAAAGCTACTGTTGGCTGCACTGACACCTGCTCTCTCCACCTCTCCCAACATGTTGTTGTTAGTTTTACCTGTTGGCAGACAGACAAAAGCTTAACCAGCGGAAGAGAAGAGTTTTGCAATCATCGTCATCATCTCTCAGCGAACGCTACACCCCCCCCCTTCCCCAAACGCGGCTTGTTTAACTTCTGTAAGTTTGTTAAAGTTTTTGTTATGCCTGCCGGTATTTGGTATTTACCCCGCTGGCCACCCCGCTGTCATTTTGATTAGTGCATTTTATTTGCATTCTGATGCAATTCACTTATTTGCAAAACTGATAAAGCTTCGGAAGGGAAAAAGGGTCGAAATGCAGGAAAACGCATTAGAAATGATACGGGCGCAATTTTGCATACATAAATAGGTGTAATGCGTTAAGAAACTACATATGTATGTGTGCAAACAATGTGGAGTACAGTTGCTACTTAACAGAGTAGTTAACATGCTGTTAAAGAGCTTAATGGATTTATGATAATGATCTTGCCGTTGGGCGTCATTTCTTTTAGAATCTATAAAAGTACGGGGAAAAAAGTGAAAAGAAGTGCGTGATGTATGTGTGCAAACAATGTGGAGTACAGTTGCTACTTAACAGAGTAGTTAACATGCTGTTAAAGAGTTTAATGGATGTATGATAATGATCTTGCCGTTGGGCGCCGATTCTTTCAGAATCTATAAAAGTACGGGGAAAAAAGTGAAAAGAAGTGTGCAAAAGGAAAAGAGTCAACTGTTCATACATAAGCTAACTTACACCTTCCTTCTCCTTTTTTACCATTAGGTAATGTAAATGATATATTGAAAACTGTATTTTTGAATTACTCTCCTAATCAGTTGAGGTTATTCCGTTTTATTGTAGATCCTAATATTTGGTAACAATTCATAGAAAACTAAACTTTATAGAAAGTCCATAGCCTAGGCATTGCTCTCATGGTAGAAGCGATCTATGCTGATGATTTCGTCGTTGGGCGCCATTAAATTGAGGGTCGGGGCTGTGGGTCTTGCGGGCACCTCCTGCCGATGGCTGCTCACTGTGCTAATGGAGTGACGATCGGCCAGTGGATCGATTCCAATGTTGCAATTGTGACTGATGCTCCTATCAAGCTTGGTCTGCGCGGGATGCGACAGTTGCTGCGAGGGATGCCCGATGTCTGCGGATGGGGACACGGATTCGGTTTCCATATCCATGGAACGAGCCTGCCTCTGTTTGGCATAGAGCTGCTCGATAAGTTCCCGGAAGAGCGAGGTATTCACATTGATGCTGACGCACATGAGCACGAACCAGTCACCATATCCTGCGTTGGCGAGGACCTCGCGCACATGCGCCTTGGGCATTCCGCGCAGGTGGGTGCGCAGCAGTTGGAGCCGCAACTCCGAGCAGAAGAAGAGCAGCAGGCGGTACAGGATATTAATCGCCGCCAGCATCGCGATGAACAGGAACCACACATACAGCACCGCGAAAATCTTCTCGTTCAGGATATTCAGCGGCAGGACGCACAGAATGTCCAGGATATTCGGTGTGCCGCTTGGCCCGTAGACAAACATCTCGCATTTGGCCACCTTGGGAAAAACCCGCGATGTCATCAGGTTCCACAAATTCCAATCGTACACGGGTATGGCGGCCAGGGCATGGATATACTTGTGCCAGAACCCATTGAACACAACGTCCATCAGCCAGAAGTTCAGAAGCTGTGAGGGTAGTAGTATTACTTAAACATATGTAGATTAGAGTGGACCACATTTGTATGGGCATTTTTAAAGTCAGTCTTTCAACCGCTTTAGGGCATTTACATTTTAGAAATTCGGAGTTATTTTATCTCTAAAACAAAATTCTTTCATTCAGATATTTTTTTTTAATTTGTAAAAAAAAATCTGTTCATCGGCTCCAAGTTAATCTCGTTTAGATTACAACCAAAGAAATAGTATTAATGTTTCCGATAGGAGAGGAATGAAGAAAGATTTTGTTGGACTAAACTCTATCTGCTATATGTTTTGTATGAGTATTTTTAATATATGTTAAAAATCTAAGACCATTGCGAAATGCCTAAATCCAAATATATAGTTTTTACAGTTTAAATGCTATATTTAAGGGTGGGAATACAATTATTTTTTCATTAACCCCTATTTGGAACATTAAGGTGGACCAAAAGTACATTTTTTTGTTGGTTCCGAAGGCATGAACTTACGCTAATGACGAGATTGAGAAGCTCGCAGAAGGCGTACTTGAGCGAGTAGCAGCAGTGGATGGGCGAGAACTGGGCGCGGAAGTACTTGGTGAGCATCTGTAGCCGGGTGCGGTAGGTGGACTCCAGGATGAGGGCGTCGCCGACCTCGCTGCAGAGCTGCTCCATGCGCTGCCCCTCCCACACCTTCCACAGAAACGAGGGGAAGTAGAAGAGCAGCGACTGGAAGAGCAGGATCATAAAGACCCACTGGTAGTAGCGTAGATATAGCCTCTTGGTAACGCCCCGCGTTTCGGGGCCTACGCCCTCGGCGATCGAGATGACCCGGGCATACTGCTCATTGTGGGCCACCAGGGCGCGCAGGCTGCTCAGATTGAAGGCCTCGGCGGTGGAGGACGAGTAGAAGCCAAAGTCCCAGCTGCTGGAGCTCTCCCTGTCGCGCTCGGCGGGCAGGATGTAGGTGCCCATGGTCCAGCAGTAGGATTGCACGTACTCCGTGTGCTTCTCGGAGCTGATGCACAGGATGGGCTCACCGAAGTACTGCTTCGCCGACAGCAGGAAGGTGCACGTCAGCAGGATCACGATGGTGCACTTCGAGTGCAGTGTGAAGATAGGATCATATATGCGCACCGTCTTAAGGCGCAGATACTTGGAGAGGGGTTTCACGGCTGCATACATTGCGCTCTTCCGTTCCCTAAAGCTATTACTTTGGCTCTACTATTTGCTTTTAGCTGTCCAAAATTATGTGTGACAGTATAACTCTACTGTCATTATTCGTTAGGATTCAGGGTTGCCAGGTATTTGATTTGGGCTACGGTCAGACATTTAACTCAAGGATTGCCAAGATCTATCATGGAAAACAATGCTATATTTCTATACATTTTTCGAAAATATTTTATTTTCTGTTAAATATTCTAAATAGTAAATACATATTACACATGCATAGCTTTCGATTTTTGTTATGATTCTTATCATAATAAGTAATATCATAGTTAAATAGACACATACTTCATATACGTGGTTAATAAGTTCTGTTACTGTTTCTGTGATTCTTTTTTATTAAAATAATTTTAATTGATTTTTAAGGATTAATGTTTAAAGCTCGTATTTTGTTTAATTCTTATGCATACGTATATAATATACCACCTAAACTTGATAAAGAAATCAGACCAATCAGCGATTAGGGACCATATTAGCACAATAATACTTGTTAGCCACTTTCGCCACGCATTCGTTTTCAGGCGAATTCAATAAACATCCCATCAATTGAGCACATTTTCCCTGATTATGTACGATTATGAACAACATTTTCCGATTCCATCAGTACCGAGTGTGGACTTTTCAAAACTCGTATGTATGAGGATCACGAGCTATGGGAACGCCAACGAATGGCAATAATAATAAAATGATTAATCGATGCTACATGACTGCATATACAAATAATTCCCAGCGGTGTGTCGTCATCAGCGTCATTACCCACATCGTCATCATCATCGTCATCACCATAATCAGCAGTTGGGGTGGAAGTTTGGGGGCATGGGTACCATGGGTTCCACCAGCAAATACATCGTCATCAACATAATCATCATCATCATCATCATCTGCTCGTTGGTTGCCGGTGGAAATGTTTATTGTGGGAATTCGTTGTCTGCGACGTGTCGAGTGGCGACTCCAGCATCGGCTGCTCCTCCTGTCCAAGTCCCAATCCCAATCCCATTCCCATTCCCATTCCCAGCTCCAGTTTCAGCTCCAGTTCCCAGTACCCCATCGATCCAACCAACCCGCCATCCTATTCGCGCCACAACTCTCGCACAAAAATTAAATTTATGAATTGTTTCGTTAGTGCGTGACCAGAGATTTACAATAATCAGAAATCGGGAATCAGGGAACACGCTCAGGAGACTAATTAGTCCTGGTCGTAACGGGTATACCGTATACGGTGCCAAATTGTAATTATAATTTCTCGTGTCTGCCGATTGCCGACAGTCCCAGTCCCTTGGATCTCGCCTCATTGATTGTTTGGCCATAAAATGAGGATGACAATGAAATATGATTCGAAGTTCGAGCCAGTGGAAATCAAACAAAGAAGTCATAGAATTGGCCAAATTCGACTGGGCTAATTAATTATAATACATTTTGGCAGGACTCTAAGAAATAGTACTAAATTTATTAAAGATGATAGTAACGTTGGAAAAACTACGACTAACATGGGGTTTAGAGTGCTTTAAAGGAAGATATGATACATTTTGAAGGAATTTATAAAGAATTTAAAGTTATTTTATTTATTTATTTCTTTTATATTTTATTTTTTGAAGATAAATATTAAATTACTGCTCTTGAATTGAGAATATTCCTTCTTAAAATCCGTGTAAGTACATTTTGGGTTCAATGTTTTCAATATTTGAACAAAATCGTAAGAAGAGATATTTTAAATTGAGTTTATTTAACATTATTACGGACTGCACTTATAGTTTAGTTGTTAAGATGAATGAAAATACCGCAAATACAACTTGATTAGTCGTTCCACTTTTAAGAACATTTTCAACTCAGATGAGAACGTCAGAATTCTCTCTGTATAATAACACAAAATGCGAACATTTACATAACGTTTAAAAACAATATGTATTAACTAAATTAACGTTTAAAATTTACACTATTTTCATTATATTTTAGTTCCATTTTTTACATCTTATATTTAACACTTATAAACGCCATTAATGAAGTTTTCCAATGACCTTAAAGCTATGTTCTTATTATGGTTCAGGCAAATTTTAAATGTAAATAAGATTCTTACGCTTTAAGTGAGAGCTTAGTAAATAACTAATAACTTTTCTAAAAGCCCTAACATTCATTCTATATTTATATAGATATTCAAAACGATTAACAATTCACAATTACCGAACCGAAGATTTCCTTTTGATTGCCAGTGGGTCATGGCTGAAAACAATGGGGCGTTAACCGACACCAATCAATGGCTGCCAGGTGCTGATCCTGATATAGTCACCCTATTCAACTCAAACAACTCCATCCGGACGCCCATTTGGAGCCCATAAAAGTTCGCTGACAGCTTTTTAAATATTTATTTAAATAAAATGCATTATTTAAAGCGATTTTTCATTGACCACAAAAACCGAAAAACGTTTGCTGTACTGCCCGAGAGCTATTGCAATAGCAATAGCGGGTGCTTTTTCATATGGGGGGTGTTTCAAGGGGTTCCCGGGGTTTTGGATGGCCAGGATGGATGGCCAGAAAGGATGGATGGCCAGGAAGGATCTGGGGGAAAAAACCACCCACCGCCCAGCTTTTTTTTTCTGTGCGAACATTGCGTTGGGCCATGGCTACGCATTTCGTGCTTAAATAAATAAATTTAACAATTATGCGTGGTTGCGGTTGTTTTGGCTTTGATGGAGCCCAGGCATAATCCTATTACCGGGCGATTCGCCAGTTGCCACTTTTCCATTCGACACTGCCCCGATGACGACTCCACATATACCCATTTCCATTTCCATTTCCAATGGCACTCCCCATTTTAACTGACCCCCCCCCATGGACGTAACTCCCGAATGCGGTGACTGCTATATGGTCAACGGTCGATGGTCCGATGGCGGTTTACTTTTCTGCATAAATATGGCAAAGCCAAAGCAGCTGGATGGGCTTTGGGCTTTGGGCTTCGCCTCGGGTTGGCTTAAACGGGCCCTCGATTATGTGATGACCAATTTAGTTAAACTTTGTTAAAGGTGGCTGCGATTTGTCGAAAATGCACGCTGCCTGTTTGCATTTTCATAATTGTTTGGGTGCGTTGGGTGTTTTTTGATTTAGTTGCTGTTAGCCCGGCCATAACATATTTATAAAATATAAAAGCTTTTAATTATCAGCTCGTATTCATTTGATGGGTGTTTATTATCTGTAGCAATTTTCATTAAATGATTCGTTTGATTATATCGCATTCTTTTTTATTTACTTTCAAAATTATGAGTTTCAATTAGGTTTCGGAAATCGATACATCTAATAAAATTAATCTTTTTTTTTTCTGATTTTTTAAACAGAATGTGTCTTATGGCATTAAAGCGATTACTTTAGGTTTTGATTTAATGACAGATGACAGGGATAAACAATTGAAAATTTGTAATGGGAGAAAAATAATAGCATGTCACTACATTTTAGCCTGAAATGCAGCATTTTTTTGTTGAATGGTGAAACTCATTATTAAATCATTTGGTTGGCTTAACACGTGTGAATAGATTATCCTGAATATACAGTACCCGTCAACAGTGTTTGCTCAATTGAAATTATTTTGGCACGTTTTTATATTGTAATACTTGTGCTTGTTCTGAAGAATTCGCGTTTTTAGTTTTTTGCTTAAGTCAAAACTACACGAAATATATTTTTTAAAAAGTTTTAGTTAGTTTAATTATATAAGTTTTTTAAATGCCTGTTAAGACATTGATTTTTTACTGGGGATAAATGAGATATAAATCGTATAAGGCTTGTGCTGAAGAATTCGCGTTTTTTTTAGTTTTGCGGTTTTTTAATCGTAGGCTACAGCAAAATGCCCAACTTTTTTTGCTACCTACTTTTTTTATACCAATTTTCGCATTTTTCATAATGGGATGTCTTTTTTTTTTCAAAAAATGAAAAAAAAAAGAAAAATTTCTGGGCTTGAATGTCAAATTGGAAATTACGAAATAAACGAGCTCAACAAGGTATGACATTCCTCATTCGGACATTTTTTCGCATTATACCAGCCATAACACTGATATTTTTATAATTTTTGGCAAGTTTTATATATATTTTATAAGGCTTGTGCTAAAGATTTCGCGTTATTTTTTATTTTTGTTTGTGGGATACCTACGCAAAATAATTATAATAAAATACTTTAATTAGTTTAAGTATAAACACTCAAATTATTGACTTTGCAATGCAATTTGTGGTCCCTGTCTGCCATTATTCCAGTGAGACTCTTCCGCCTACTGGCTCCCCAAGGAGCTCCAATTGCTTAAAGTTACAAGTATTCTCCTGGCCAATGGGCCGTGATGGCTGATGAAAGGACCCGTAAGCAGTTCTAAAGAGATATGCGGTTGTCGGTCCTGCCTCGAACCGCCCCAAACCCGCCCCCGGAATTTGCACCGCCAGGGCTCCTTGTCAAATGCACTTGAAATGCGCGACCACTTACCGACCGTCGTCACTCGGAAAAGGATTTCCCCGGCGCATCGACCTGCCCCCCAGAATTCTCCAGAATGGTCTGCTTTCGGGGGTCCCTGCCACTTGACTCGAAATTTATGCGTTTAATAATGCATTGTACAGTCGGACATCGGACGTTCGAGTTCCTGGAAGCGGTGCTCTATGAGGGGTCCCGCGTTGACATTGCTTACCTCAAAGGCCACACTCTCATCACCCTCATCATCATCATCATCATAATCGTCTTTGGGGGCCCTGGACGTTATTGTGTGCCAACATGGTCGTCAATATGATGTCGTTCGTTGGCCAAGACAAAGACAAAGACGCAGGCCAAGTTAAATTAAAGGCGACGATATCAGCATATGTTACGAGTGTGCCTATATACATACACATATGTGTCCTGACATGTTCCTGCCGTGCATTGTTCGATTAATGACTTAACGACGTGTGTTGAATAACTTTGATTTAGTGTCATCTCATTTTGCGTGCCGCACAGAACACACCGAGCTTTGTGGAGCTCTGGAGCTCTGGAGCTCTGGAACTCTGGAGATCTTCCCTCCAGACTCCCAGCTAATTATATTTATTTACTGGGCGTGCCCAGAG